TATATATATACACATATATATATGTGTGTGTGTGTGTGTGTGTGTGTGTGTATGTATGTATGCATGTATGAATGTATCGTGCAACATACAATTATCGTACAACAGAATTGAATATTTACTAGGTAAAAATTCAGAAAAATATCATAGTAACATTGTTTTAGTTGCACTTATGCTTTCCACGCTTAAAACGAAATAGGTATATATCCGAGCTTTGGAGAGAGAAAAAGAGACAAGGAACAAAGTATAAGATAAGTGCAATTAAAATGAATAACTATGATTAAATTAAGGACAGTAGTGATACTAGCAGTAGACACATTGCGTTTAGTGGCTATTCAGCTTACGTGATGAAAGTTTATGTACCCCACATTGTGCGACGTATTTGCAATAAACTAATTTTTTTCATATTTAATGTGTTATTTGTTATTTCTTATTTTCAGAAAAAAACTTCGAAATTGTTATCGAGCATTCTTGCAAACTCTGATAAATTTTAATGTAGTGCATGCTGCACACACACATTACATTAATAATAAGATAAAATATAACGAATGCTAAAAATGAATGTAAATGTAAACTTATTAAATTTATTAGCAGTAAATGCAATATACAATATAAAACTGTAGTTAGCAAAATAGTTTTTATAATTCAAATTATTGCCTCTAATCAAAATCTTAAAAGAACGTTAAGTTGGCTAAAGAATTAAGCCGATTATATAAAATTAAATATTTTGGAAACTAAGCATTTCTGTAACTTCGCATTTATTATGGATTTGATTACATTTACTTAGGGACTTATTCATAGTCTATTCTTATTTCAAGATCGTCTTAAGTAATGTCTTAAGATGCTAAAACAGCCTTGTGATTGGTCCGTGACATTTTAAGTCTGTACTTAAGATGATCTTGAATATAACAATCGATTATGAATGTTTGTTCTTGCTTAGTACTATATACTTGTAAGATTTGGAATTTGGAAATGTCAAAACTTTGAGAACGTGTAGGGGATTGATAAACTAAGAAAAAAAGTCTTGTAGAAATATGCTCGTTTTCACTTCGTTTTGAAGAAAATCGCAAAAAAGATAAAACGTAGTTTTCATTTTTGTACTTTCTCATTACTTATTTATGTTGTATCATTCATTATTTATTCACTTGCTTAATGTAAATATTCAAAATGTTCAAAGTGTTTGCCTCTTTTACCTGAAAACGGAATTATTATTATTGTTTTCGTGTACGATTTTAGTGGCGATAATACTTTAGAGTGCAAGAACATAACTACGTTTTGTTTTTTTTTGCGATTTTTTCCAAAAAGCAAAAACGTGTATCTTTACGGGATTTTTTTTCTTAGTTTATCGATTCTCTACATGCTCCCAGTTTTGACATTTAAATCCCAGATATTCTGTATATCTTTAAAGCTTAAAAATCGAAATCGATTTTTTGCAGTATACCAAAATTGAGCCAAATTAAAATAAGTAAAGTTAAATTTCTTAAAAAAGATTGAGCCATTCTTTTTTAAGATTGACTGAGTTTCTTCTGAATATTCTTTAGAGTGAGATATCACCAAAGAATTTAGAGAGTAAGGAGCTCCACACAATAAAAGGAACAGAGAACCTGAAATCATATTGTGGAATACACAGTTTCTGATAGGTTGACATTCTTATTCTCTGTTCTCTATTCCTTTTATTGTGCGGAGTCTCTAAGATATCTTCCGCTTTTCGAATCGAACTTTCGTCCCGCCAATGAACTTTATACAACATGGCGCCATCCTGATAATTTAGCCTGTCGCGGCGCAGTGTTCGCGAAAATCCACTAAAACGGAACGGTGATATTGAGCGCTCTCTGCGTTCTGTGAGCTTTTTCTGATTGGTCTACATATTAGAGTTGAACGGAATACGCCAATCAGATGGAAGAGCTCACTGAGCGCTTGTTCTGAATGCACACATTGCGATAACATGTTTACATGCTCGATGACACAGAGGGCGATGCGAGATGTCAAGATATACGCGCAGGAAGTGGGGATGGTGGCAGGACAGGGAAGGGGAGACGAAAAGGTAAAGGTTAGAAGAGGTTATGAACTCTAACCCGCGGTCGAAGTCTGGTAGCTAGCCCGCTGGTGTCTGCTGGTTTCGATTGCGCGACGGCACAGATCGGTCGTCGCTGCTGCTACCCGTGAAGGTGAGTTGCGGTTCCTCTCTTTTATCTATCAATGTCTCTCTCACTCTCGAGGTTCGTCCTCGAGCGCACGGGAGATGTTTTTTTTTGCATTTTCGCGTGCACGGCGACATCCTCCCGAGGGAAGAGTTGTGCACGCGCGCGCGCGCACACACGCTCATAATATTCACAGCACATCGTCCGTCGGCCGTCGCCGTCGACGATGGTGAGAAAGCAATAGCTCGTGAGACGGTCGTCGTTTTCTTTTCGTTCCTCTTCATTTGCGTTGAATGACGACAATGAATCGAATCTAGCGTGACGAATTCCGGTTCGGGTTTAATGCCGATAAACTTCGAATACGGAAGGGACTGCGTTTTATATTGTGTGTCCCTTTTGCACGCTCAATGGTGTCACCGCAGGTTACATTTCGCTTCTTCACCACGCGCCAACCTCCTCCGAACGTTTAATTAATGACACGAGATGCTATGCTCCGAGTCGAAGGGTACGAAATAAAGCGAATCTTGTTTCTACGAGATGAGGATTTCACGAATGCTTGAAGGCGTTTCTCTCTATGACGTAACGCTCTTGTGTACGGAATGTTTCGTCTTCGTCATCAGAGAACTGTAAAAGCTACGTCACACAAAACAAACTTGAGTGAATTGGCTAATCACACTAAAGACTGTAAGATAATGTAAACTGTAACAAATCCAAAATTTTCATTTGCTTACTGCTTAAGTTTTTTTTGTGTGTCATAATCTTCACTTTAATGGATTTTCTATTATAAGTTCTAAATTTTAAGTCATAAAAAATTGACGGATCACAGTTGAATATGAGAAAAATATTTAATTATAATTGGTCAATTTCTTGCAGCTTAATGCCTGTATTTATAACTAGGCTTTATATTTAAGGCTTCTAAGTTCATCTTTAGAGCCAATAATTTGTAGAATATTTAAAGATAAATTTAAAGAAGTCTTAAACATAAGGCCTAATTATGGATATAAGATTAAAGCTTAGGTAATGATTCATGTTTTAATAATTCGATTATTATCAAATCGATTATTATCAAAATCTATATATATCCTTATTTTATATTCAATTGAAAGAATTTCTATATTTGGTAATCTTTTTTGACTTAGTGATAATCTCAAATAATTTTTTTAAATTTTAATTTACTAAAATTTCTTTCACATGAAGCTACTTTACTGGAATAGTTAAAAATATTCTTGCTACTACTTGTAAGTTTGGATATGCTTTGATTATAAAGAATAATCATGAATTAATTTTAAAATATCTTATAATAAAATTTAATGATAAAGGAAAATTGATTCTATATTTGTAGCATCAAATAGATCTTAAACTAAAAATCAACACCTGCATTAGTAACGAATTAAAATATGTATGAAATTATATTGCCATGTTTGCATTTTACTTTTACACAGATAAAATCAATGTATAGCTTTAATATGCATTAATGCATTTAATTGAATTGGCTAACACTCTAATAAATTTTTTTGAGAGATCTCAGTCCAGATTCAGAATGAAAATTGAGGCAGTCTTGAAAATGAAAAAGAGTGACTTATAATTTATT